GGTGCTGGGGGATTGAACCGCGGTCCCTGATGCCTTGCCAAGCTTGTTCTAAGTAGGTGCTTTAGACCACTGAGCCATCTCTCCAGCCCCAATCATCCTTAATTATAAAAGATAACATATTCAATATAGAAAAATGAAAAAATAGAGGAAAGTATTAAAAAACATTTTTATAACCCTGCAACCTAGAGAAGAATGCATTATAAATAGTTTAGGACCCTATTTTTCCCCTAAATATTTGATGTTTTACTAAGCCTCAGTGACTTAGGTATGACTGATGTCACATTAACAATAATGAGTATTTCTCTGGCTCTAGCATTTGCCTGTTCTTTAGTATAATCTCCAAAAATCTGTCCCCTCTCCAACCTCCCTCTATTTCTGGGAATCCCATGGTAGTATACCAGTTATTATAAGTGTACAAATACAGAATGTTTCCTAACATTCCTACAAGCCATGCTATAGGAATTTTAATTAATTTAGTCTTTTTGAGACAGGGTCTTGCTATGTAGTTCAGGCTGACCTTGAACTTACTCTGTAGCCTAGGCTGGTCTCAACTTGCCTGTGATCCTCTTGCTTCAACCTCCCAAGTGCTGGGATTATAACACCATACCCAGTTAGTTGTACTATTCTTGTAAAAAACTTTTTAAAATGTTTGACTGAGTGTAGTGACACATTCATGTAATCCCAGCACTCTGGAGACTGAGGGAGGAAGATTACTGCAAATGCAAGGCCAGCCTGAACTACATACTGAGACCCTGTCTTAGAAAAACTGGAGGAAAAGAAATCTGATTTGGTGTTTTATCTATATAAGTATATTCTATGAAAAAAGTAGTTTACATACTTCAGCAGGTCTCTGCACTAATAAATGCCTGGAAGCTAATTGCCACCAGTTTGAGTACCTCTTATCATTATAGAGGCCAAGGGTAAATTGTATTAATCTCCAGGACCAGGGATATAGCTTAGTGTCACAAGCACCTGCTTGGCAAGTGCAAGGTCCTGAGCTCAATTCCTGGTATAAAAACAAAACAAAACATTGAAGTTGTACATTTAAATACCCAAATTCCCAAATTTTGGATTGTGCATATCAGCATAATATTCCTTTATTTTTTTATTTTTTATTTTTTTTCAAAGTTTTAATGATAAACAGATAGCAATGAGACAGTTTCAAATCAAATCAGAAGTACAGTTTCAACAAATATTACACTGCATATATTCTTCTTAGTAGTCAATTGCTGGGGGCCTGGCCCTAGCTCAGGCCTTTAAGTGGCTGCTTCCACAAAGCTGTCAGCCTCAGGTTGCTGGAGTTCGAACCTCACACCTCT